TTGCCTCTTTCTGTTATCTTGCAATTTTCAATTTTAACCGATATTGGGGGAGATTCATATGTCATGTTTTAACACTAGAAAGAGTGAAACTTAGTATATACCTACATTGCCCAAAAGCAATCAAAAGTATTGGATTGTAAAAGAATAAATGATGTGTAAAAAAATTTCTTTAAAATTAATTTTAAATATTTTTTATAATATATACAGTTATACAACAAGTTATTAGTAAATATTAACAATAAAAAAAAATTATATGCTGAACAAAATTTTAAGAAATTTTGTCATTATATACATCATTGTTTTTCTAATTGAAATTAAAAGCAGTCAAAATGACTTCCTTAGGCAATCTAGCGTTAAGGCGAATGCACCTAAAGATTTTATGCTTAGGAATTCACAGGAACAGACTTAGTCTAAGTGGGGCCCCCCTCTGCTTCGCTACTTCAGTAATGAAGAACCGAACTTTATGTGGAGGTATTTAAATTCTTCACCTCTTTATTAGATAACAAGAAAATTGACTAGAACCTTAAATAGCTATAAAATCCCCCCCCTCCAATGGTCAAACGTAACGTCGTTCGATCTATTTTATTTATTTTCTGACAACTCTATGTCCGAATGCAGTCTTCTGATTACTAACTTTGTCATCTAGCAGCGAAATATTCATATTCTTGTTCTGAACTGGTTCATATTCTTGTTCTGAATTGTGCTGAACTGGGCTAAACTATCTCAATGACGATGGCTTAATTTAGCCATTCAGAAACCTGTATTTTTGTAAACATGAGGCATTTTGCGATATGGAGACATACAGGATTTTGATTGGTCAAATTTAAATGACGTATGCGAAAATTAAACTGAATTCGCGCCCCAGAAATCCATGAATATATAGATTAATATAGATTGCGAAAGATAGTTTACGTTTTCATACGATAGTTTAATGATGAAGCTGACGTAAAACTGACTGATTTTGCACTGTACTGATATTTTGTTTTTAAAAAAAAGTTCATTAAAGAAAGAAATATAAAATAAATTTTCCATTTGATTTGGGGGCCCCCTCTGATGTGGGGGTCTGGGGCAACTGCCCCGTATAACCCTGCCTTAGTCAGGCTCTGGGTATTCATGGAATTTTTATAATTTTCCTCTATAACTTTCAAAACTGGACACAGCTTGAAATACGTTTTTACGGAAATGGACTCAGCTGGAAAAGGCGTGTTTAAACGCATCTCCATGCAATGCTAAAAATGCAATCACGTGACATATATGCACGTGTATTACTATGCTTAATTCTGAACTTAATAAATCAATTGATTTAAAGAATTGAAACAGATGTATTCTGAAAGTATGTTTTATTAACACTATATTAACCTCTTCAGAACCGTGATCACATACACTTCATCTCGCGATTATTCTTTCACAAACGCGGGATAAAAATGCGTTTTTATCTGACTCTAGAGGGCCAATATTACACGGACGTTCTCTCATGTTGCATCTCGTATTGGAAAGTATACCTAATCCTTATTGCTTATACGAGTCTGAGGAAACGCATTTTTCTCATCAAATAAACATCAACATTTAGCAAACAGCCGATGTTCTTTAAATGAGCTGCTCGAGCCGTGGTGCTCAGGTGATAGAGTGTCCACCTCTCAGTGAGGTGGACTGGTTCAAATCTCAGCGGTGGCAGGTCGATATGCACCGATCACAGTGCTGACATAAAATATCCTTAGTGGTCTTCGGATCATGGGCTGGAATCTCCTTGCCGTCGGGCTAACCATGGGAGGTTTTCGTGGTTTCCCCCTACGTAACGCAAATACGAGTTAGTTTCATTAAAAAGTAATCCACGGTGGCTAGTTTGTCCCTGTTCTTGATCCAGGAGTTCAAATGTCATCTGGGTTGGGTTGACCAAGGCCACGGAGTTGAATATTGATAGTCGTAAACTCAGAATTGGATCTGCAGTACAACGTCGATTATAAAATAAAATGAATTGCTGAAAGGTCACTACGAATAACGCCACCTGGTGTCAAAATGTCTTTATAAATATTTTCCTAGATCTATAAATCATTTTCTGTTGAGATTTCCAAGTTGTTATTTGTCATAAAATGGTGCTCCATCATGAGAGTTTTACGAGTCCGAATTAGAAGAAATCAGGACTTAATGGAACTTTGAACAACCATTAGTAGTGTCTTTGAATAGGGTTTCGAAGACGTAAGCCTTGGTGCAACAATGAATGTTGCGATCGCCCTCGATATCTGAATGTTTTGAAATGTTAATTGACTATTAGACGACTGTTATTACAAACATTATTCGGAGGAAGTACGTTTTTGTGCCTGATTACATAAAGTGTCGTCTGCAACTAATTAATCAATATATTTGTGGTCACCCCTCAAACATCTAACAATGAGGCCTAGAACGTGAAGATCCGATTATTAAAACAAAAATTATACAGAATGGTCCGTTATTTATTTTGCTCACCCTGCAGTTCTATTTCAAGAACTGAAAATATAAAGTTCATTTTTACTCAGTTTCAAAGTGCATTCTTAAACAATTATTTATAAAAAAAAATATTGTTGTATTGATTTCTTTAAACTTTACATTCCTATATTTTTCTAATGTAATCTAACATTTACTTCCTTAAGTTATTGTTAGGAAATGGTTTTTATGGGAATTATGTTTCATTTTATGAAAAATAATACAAAATCTGATGTGATTATGTCACAAAATATATTTTTAATAAAATAGAAGCACGGATAAAATTAGTCTACGCTTATAATTAGTGATTTGATCGCTTTACCAATATGAACATGTTTATACAAATTTAATTTTTGTCCCGCAGTGGACTGATCGTTAAGACACGGTTCCCAGCAGATCACCGAAGTCAAGCATCACTGGCTGCGGTCAGTGTGCGGGTGGGTGACCACTTGGATCAGTCTGCGTAGGGACCGAGGGTGTGCGGTATTGGTCCTCGTTAAACTGTTCTACCGTAAAGTGCTCGACTTCGCGTGCAGGTCGTCGGGCTACCGAAGCGGGGGTGCCATCCCCTCTGCAGAGGATCAAAATTGTGATGGCATGTCTTCGGATCATCCTCAGGGATGTTTCCCAGACCGTCGCCAATAGCCCAGTGTGCAGCTCTAGTGCGACGTAAATGAACTAGCACAACAACAACAAATTTTATTTCCTTTTAACTATTACCCTGAACATAATGAGAAAATCTGATTCATCATTACTATATTTATTATTTATGGGCCGGTATAACCTGGTAGGTAAGGCACTGTGCCCATGACCAAGAGATCGTGGGTTCGATACCGGCCGGGCGAAGACTCCCCGTGTAGTAAATGGCGACTGCACGTTAAATCTCTCGAGTCACGAAGTCCTCCATGTTCCCATACCAAATCATACGTCTGGGGGTACTGATCAAGGAGTTTTCTTATCTCCTGGATTGGGTTCAAAATTACGAGGCTACGGAGTTGAACGTTAGTTGTCGTAAACCCAAAATTTAGTCTGCTGTTCAACGATGGTTATAAAATAAAATATATTTATTATTTAACAAAGTAATTCCTTGATATGAAATTCATTTGAATTCTAAAAGAATAATATTTGACCAGGTGTGCCACTTTTTAATATGTGTATGCATTTAGAGCAATCTGGTATTTCAAGTTATGTAGTAGGTTTTTAAAAGTTACGTGACAATCAAATTAAAAAGTTTAGAACACTTTCTATTGAAACATACTAAAAATTGTTACGTTTCATTTAAAATTAATCAGTAAGGTATATATCGTATGAAATGGAACTTACTGGTTAAAAATTATAAGAATAATAAAGATAAGTATTTTATCACATTTTACCTAAAAATTTACACTTAACACAAATCCGAATTAAAACTTATAGCTACAAACAAGCTATAAACAAAAATTACTTCAAATGATGCTAAAAAGTTTTCGACAGTTACAAAAAATAAACTGGTCTTTAAAAATTATTACACAAAAAATTTATCGTACATAAATTAAACTAAATGACTAATAATCACATGTATAAATAATAATTATCGATTTCGTCATCAAAATCGTTAAGTAATTATCTAAATAGTTTTAAAAAATTCATTAAATGGTTTTTAAGATACTACTTACGCCCAAAAGTGATAAATATAGAATTAGTTCTTTAAGATATTATTTAACTGTTCTAAAGGTGTTCATTTTTATTTAATTACAAACAGGTTTTTAGTGTTTTTTTAAAGTAATAAGTTTAACAAATTTCTAAAATTTTGAAACATTATCAAGCCTATGTTCAAGACGTGTAAACTGGAGTCTATTTTGGAGTAGATTTTCATAGATGAAGGTTGCAGACAACACTCGCCCAAATCTTATTCTGACAGTCTTTACACGATGTTATCACGACAACCTTGTTTCTCGGCTATTTTAATACGACATATGTTTCATTCCATTTTCACAGCCATTTTGGCAATACACATTTTAAAACAGATTTATAGAATTTAAGTGATGAATTATTTTTTACTATTTATGAATTATTTTTCACTATCTAAATGAGGAAATTAAGAATTTTGTAAACTTAAGTTTTTTTAAATGATAATTTTTTTGATGCTCTTTTTGTTAATTAGGCACTTTTTTGAAGGGCTCTTTACAGTTTTTAGTACCCCGAACTTTTAGAGGCTGAAAAAATTTTTTACTACTATGATAAAAAAATAACAAGGAATATTATAGTTAAAAATATAATTTTAAAATTACACCTTCCTGAATTGTTTTAACAACTGAGAAAGAAATATTTAGTTTCCATTGACTGTAACATTCTAATTTCTAACCCTGTTTTCACAATATCTAGCTATACTTAAGTCATTGGATAATGTATATTTTGAAGTCTTCTTGTAGCTTTTATATTATTCTATTTTTTTCCCTCATTAAATATTGCATTTTATTCTTATATCTTCAAAATACTTGTGTGAATTTCTATTTGTCGAAACTTTATGAATGAATGACCATTTTTAATTTTTTTTTTAGGAAGAAAAAAGTCAAATTATAACTACTAATGTTTGGCTGAATTTGGTAAGTTATTAAATTTGAACTCAAATTATTTTATTGTAACAGTTTATTATTAGTTCAGGCAAAGAAATATTAAATGATATATATATTCAAATAAAC